AAAAAAAAGAGGAGCATTTAGTAATGTCAGTATTTTTTCATTCACAAGGCAAAGTTAACCTTTATGTTTTTCACCTTTGCTTTGTCAAAGTATGTAGGAGGCTGCGTGTTTGTCTATTAACTGCTAAGTGTGTGTAGTAACTCTCACTTTATCACCTGCTTGTATGGTAAATGAACTTTAACAGATTAATAACATGAGTAAACCCCATCTTAAAATAGATTTCAGATGTGAAAAAGGGAAGATATCTACCTGTACATTTATTTTAGTACTGCTGATGACTTCTAGCAAATTAATGAAAATAATCTAGGAAATTTTGAATCCTTTATCGCATTAAATCAATATTGCATGTAATTTGGTTCAGAACTCAGAGCAGCCTCTTTGTGAGATCACATAAAGTTTAAATTTAAATAAATCATTGACACTGGAAATACAGAAAACATGCTTGCACCAATTATTTCAACTTCTGTAGAGTCTGGAGAACACATGAGAAAGTCACGGACAGCAATACTTTTCATATTTTTCTTAGAATGAAACTACAGAACATTTTATTCTGCAAGATACACAGAATATGGCAAATACCAAAATAAGGTGATAGGTCGCTTGGTGATATATAGTAGGAAGGAATACAGAATGCATACCATGAGAAATATAAGCTTGGGCTAAAATCACTTCAGACAGTTTAATCTGACTGTGATTTGAACCTGAACATTTTCTGATTCACCTGCTTAACTTTCTTTCTTTTACAGCTGGGAGAAATATAAGAGTTAAACTGACTTTTATGTCCTTTTCAGTTTGAATTGCAGACATTATAAAACATATACGTCTTTTAATCCTGGCTTGCACATACATTTTATTTCTGCTGTTTTGTGCGTTTGCTTAGCTGGCTTTTTTTCCCCAACTTCTAGGTCTTTGAAGAAGAGCATCACATCTTGTACCTGGACCATGGTGGAGTTATTGTGGCCATCAAAGACACCTCTATCCCTCTGAAAATACTCAAGTAATCCTACAGTCAATTAGAGTAGTGCTATTGTGTATTTGAGACACAAGTTCAGAGTTAAGATGAATGTTTTAATGTGATCGTGTATAAAATGCAGGTGGAGTCAGCTTAATTTAACATTCAATATGTCAACAAAATGTAGGAGGATGTTTTCTTAAAGATTACTTCATGGTGCTGAAGGTACCATGGCATAATGCATTAATCATAATAAAATTTTCTGGCATCAGTGTAGGTATTTTTGCTTAAAAGGCTATCCTGGAACTCTACAGTACAAGCCATGTTTAGCGTGATTGTTATCTGCTACTGGTTTGTACCAGCGGTATATGGCAATGATGCTCAACCTATCGTGCATCAGTGGCTTAGGTATCTGGTCAGGATAATTCATTCATACTGTAATAAAGCTGTGTCCCCTTCAAGGACTACGGTGAATGAAGACATTGAAGAATAGCCCTGAGTTGCTCTGGCAAGAGCAATATAAAGTAGACTTTGGGAGCCAATGGGGAAAGGACTTATGCATGCAAATGTGCTGTGTAACACAATATGCAAGAAGCCCAGGTCTTCTGAGATAGTCATGCACAAAGTAACTGTAGTATGTACATATATGTCATGTAGTAATAATGCAGCAAATGGCCTTCTCAGCTTGTTTGACAGGAAAGGTTTGCTGCAAAGCATTTTGTTATAAAATATCAAGTTTTAAACTGCATGATAGTGAAGGAAAATATGGTAACCTTATGTAATGGCATGCAAAACTATAATTTTTGGCATAAAAAATGTAAGACATCTTTATTACTTGTGACTAGGTTCATTTTTGCATAATACTGTATACACTAACAGGAACTAGGTTACGTACTTTGTTAGCTAGAATGAAAGCCATCCTTAACCTGTATCCAAAAGACCAAAAGAAACGAGACTTTGAATCATAATTTTTGGTTGCACAGAGTATTTGAAATATGTTTTGCTGATTCATTAGCATCTTTTGAAAAATTCTAAGTGGATGGTAGCATCCTTGAAGGGCCATTGTCTTGGTGCCTACTGTTACCACACCTCCCACATTTGGGCTGCTTTGCGTCTCATGTTTCACTGACCTCTGCTTAACAGGTCTCTAGCTCAGAGACTACTAGAAAGAACGAAGTGTAAATTAACTGCTCTTGAACCTACAAGGTAGCAAGATAGTTTGCTGACAGACCACAGTTTTTATCTGCCTGAGAATTTCCATTGTTGTGGCAAATTTATTATACACCTTCTAATAAAGATGTGAACCCTTGGATATGTTGCTGAGAAAAAGATCACATTAATATGATATACTGTCCAGGAATGTTGTATTTTGGTGATCATAAATCCTGGGCTTTACTAGTGAGGGGATTATTTTTTTTTTTTTAATGAATGAACTCTGTTTTGTATAATAATAGTTGTAAATGAAAACCATTTCTGCTTTTTTACAGGTTCAGTGTAGACGAAGGCCAGACTTGGAGTATACATAATTTTACCAGCACTTCAGTCTTTGTAGATGGATTACTTAGTGAACCTGGAGATGAGACACTGGTCATGACGTATGTTTCTGGTTTCATCTCTTTTTTCAGAGTGCTCTCTCCATATGCACTTGAGCATATTTTTAATTGTGGATGTTTCAGGTAGTCCCTGAGTCAGTGGCTTTTGCTTCTTCCAGTTGCACAGACTCTTACACTGATGTCCAAACAGCACTAGTATGCAACCTCTCAGTGCAGTATTTCAGATTGTAAAGATGAAGTGTTACATTCATATGAAATTTTGCAAAGTTACCAGCAGGGAGTGTGGAATAATAGGACTGCAAATACAAATCTGAGAAATGCAGGTAAAACTATTTCCTGCATTTTTTTCTGTTTTCTACAGATTTTTAGGTGGACTTCAAAAATGCTAAATATCTGTCCTTTTTTGTGTGAAAATTGTCTTCGTAGTGTAAACAGCTATATCGTTGTCCCAGTAACTAGCATTGCAGTAATTTGTGTAACCAAACTGCACTAACAAGCACGTTTTAATTCTGTGCAGTGACTGAAGTAGATGCTGTGAATAGAGTTAAAAATAGCCAAATTCTGCAGCTCAGGCCCCTGTTTATCTTTTTCAAAAGGGCTAGATACATCTGGATCTGAGCTGCAGGCTTTGCTCTATTTCTAGGATATATGATAATATTTTAGAAGAGTCTGAGACTGAAAAACACCTGTCCAATTAGAGGGAAAGGCACATGCTGACTGCAGCAGGAAAGGAGAGTGCACTCTGAGATGTGGAGGTTGTTATGTGTGCTCCTATCAGAACAGCTTGTGTGATCCTTTATATTGGAGCTCAGTGTATTCATAGCGAGCTTTTTCTCCTAGGACTTACAAATAGAGCTGCCTTTGATGCATACCAGTAGCATTTTTCCCAGGGGAAAAAAAAAAAAAAAGTTTAGTGTGGAGTTGTGTCCTCAGCAAAATAGAAATCCTACCCAATGTACGTAAAAGCATTGTGCCAAGTTCATAGTGCTGTACTGCGCAGGAGTGAATTTGGTCTGTTAGTTCTTTCTTTCTTTCTCCACTGTCCCATTTATCCTCTATTATACATATATGACCTGAGAAGAACAGTATTATTCTACCATCTTCCCCTTCTCTGAAGGCCAGGGTTTTTTCTGGTATAATACATGCCACACAGAGATACTTATGCCTCTGAATTGAGGATTTCCATTGATTTCAGTGGAAGTAGAGGGATCAAAAGCTTATCCTAAGCTGTACTGACTGGCAGATAAAGCTGTAGCTAGATTTGGTACGTGAACCTAGATTGACAAAAAAGCATCCCATGACTTGTATGTTTCTAAAGGGAGGAACAAGAGTCTGACTATTGACAAAAAAGCATCCCATGACTTGTATGCTTCTAAAGGGCGGAACAAGAGTCTGACTCCAGCATCTCAGTGCCAGGCTTGTAGGATCTTACTTTGCAGCTGGTTCTCCTGAACATAGAGGATGTCAACCACTTTCTGGCACAGACTGACCCTGAAAAGACGTGCAGCCTTCCTACCAGACTCTAAAGAAAATGGAAAGAGTAAACTTACAGTATGTGTTTCCTTGTTGCTGTTAGGTCAGCTTCCATGTCTCTCTTACTGCTTTTGACTGAGTTTTACCTTTGGGTTGACATTGTCTGCCCAGTGGTGCTCTGTCTGACTTTGCATCAAGACCTTTTGTCATTCTGTCTGGCATAGGTCATTTTCTCTCAAAACTTCACACTTGTACTGAATTGCTGCACATGACTTAATCTACAGTGATTTGCTGCTTTCAAGAAATGTCATCCACTTAAACGCCCTCCTTGAAAAAAAATTAAAAATGCCATATTTTCCATTTCATTAGATAAAAAGTGTTTTTTTTCTTCTGGGTAGAACATGGTAAGTTGAACTTGTGTATAGTAATGGGAATAAATTAACAGTGTCTTTCATCCTAAAGAATCCCCAAATCCATTAATGAAGACCTAGTCTGACATTTTTTACTTGTACAGGAATTTCGTTTTCTCCCTGTGGTAGGGAGTTTGTTTGAGTAAGGACTTTGAGTAGAGTCCAGTGTCAAAGTCTGCATAAAATAGTAGAAATAACATAATTCTGAAGTGGGAAGGTAATAACTGAAAAGCGTACAGCAAAATGGTAGAACAGAGACTGTTTTGTTTAAAGCTTCTAGAATAAGCTTACAAAAGAGTCAAAGAGTATTTTACTTGTACAGAAAGCAGCTGTTACTATAGCGTAAAGTCCTGGTTCCACTGAAACCAGCTTAGGGATTTCCTTCAAGGTTTTTAATTTTTATTTTAAAAAAAAATCACAGAAGGATTATCTGGGAAAGACATTAAGGGATCTGGTAACACTAGGCGTAAGAGAGTCTTCTCATTCTCAAGCATGGTGACTGGGATGTTGACCTGACTCGTAAGGGATTTCCATTTGAATTCCTGTTCTGTCCTAACTTATCCAAAATGAAGTGGCCTGGAAAGCTTTACTGAAGAAAGAGGGGAATGTGAACCTGGTTGCCTCAAGTCTTCATTTCAGGAAGTTTTGTGTTTTCTCCAAAACAGAGAAAAAACAAATGTTGACTTGTCAAAAGTTTTCATAAAACTGAGTTGTCATCTGCCAGTCGACATTAATCTAAATCATTCATCCAAATCCCCTGCAGTATTCAAAATATGTACACTCAAATGCCAAGGAAAATATATTTTATTCTATTGTGCTCTGCAATAGACCTAGTTAAGATTTTTAGGAGTTTTAAGTGGTAAAGTATTCAAAAACTTTAGGAAACTAATTCTGTGTAAAAACCAATTTCTAAATAGGTCTAGTTAAGAATTTTAGGAAAGATAAGCAATCAAGTATTCATAAAGTTTAGGAAACTCATTCTGTGTAAAAATCATTTTCTAAATGAGGAGCTCAAATTCACTACTTATTACTAAATGAATAAGTAAGTTTTGCTAAGAAATATTCTCAACTAATTTATATCTATTCATCAAAATAGTGCATGGTCTAGTAGGCTTTATTTTGTTCTAAATTCTTTAAGAATTAAAATTACTGAAACCCAGTGTTATATTTAACAATGTATTATATTTGGGAAAAATTACTTAATAATGCTGGATTAAGTAATGGCCTAACTCAGTGGAAAAAGGATGAATTTTTGTGTGTCTGAAATACTGATGTTCCTCTTCAGAGGAAGTAGTTCATATAATGAAAGTTTCAAACCTGTTAAAAAGCCTTCTAAATCACAGTTCAGCTTCTGGGAGTGTTTCCCAAACAGAGTTATTTAGATTGCAGTGTAAACCCAGTAGACGTGATAACCATGGTATTGCAGACCATGGCCCCTTTTAAAAGGCCAAAAAGAGGTTACATAAAAGGACTGCTTTTCCTTGTGTCAGGTAGAATCAAAATCTTCCTTATGGGTAATTGTATTTTTTTTCCGGAGGGATTTTTTTGCTAAGGTCTCGTAGAGTAACAGCTTCAGATGCTGCTGGGAACTTCATGACATCTCTTTCTCTTCAGAGAAGGAGAGAAAAAGGATCACATGTGACTTTTTTACTCAGATTGAGACTTTGTGCCATTTTGAGCCCCTGTCACTGAGTGCCTACAGCTGTGGTGCTCTAACTTCTCTTTCAGGGAAACAGTTCCATTTTAGTGTCTTGTTCTAATAAATGGAGATGATGAGGTAGATATTGGAAACTTTCATCTACAATAAAACTCTTCAAGTATTTTACTTAAGTTTTGATGGGGCCTTGAACTCCATTTTGCTGTATTTTGCTCTCAGAATGAAGGAGCTACAATTTAGGTGACTATAGGCTATTTACTCTGGCTTTGCCAGGTGAAGTCTGAATGAATAATTTCCCACCTGTGACAAAAGAGATCTGATTTTTACCTATGTGAGAGAAAAAAAAAAAAAAAAAAAAAAAAAAAAGAAGAAAAAATAGCTAAAGATTATTTATAAAATTTGTATCCCAAATTAATTTGATCTTTAAGTAAGATGACAGCAGAGAGCTGAATGATGCAAAGCTATCCTTTATAATGTCGTATGTTTCTCCTTAAATGAATTCATTTTGTTCGCTGTCAGCCTAGTATTTACTTCTTCATAAAGCATCAGGCTAGACACTCAATCTGCATTTTTTTTCCAAACAACTTACATGTCAAAAGATTGTTCTTGGACAGGAATTCAGCAAATAGATGGAAAAAAATGTTGGAGATAATTCACAAACATCATGGAGCCACTGAGCTTCTGGACAAAATGGGAACACATTCATCCTGCTCCTCCCCAGCACTTCTCAGAACCTAAGCATTCATTTCCGTTCTTTTTCCCCAAAAGAGCTGAAACCTAGATGTTTTGGCATATAAAAGAATGATTGGCAATTATTATTTTTTAGGGGCAGGAAACAATGAAAAAACATATTTTTGGTTCAATTTCAACTAAATTGTTTCCTCTCCTCATTTTTCACTTTGGCAGCCAAACCAAAAGAAAAAAACAAAACAAAAAAACAAAACAAAAAAAACCCCTACTCTTCAGTGCATGAAGCATACGCATGTGTTTGTAGTTTAAGGCACTTAAATCACAAATGTCTTAACATCTTTGCACATGATCTGTTGTGTACACAAGCACTGTTTATGTGCAGTTGCTTTATGTGGGCAGGTGTCTACTTTTGCACATGGAAGCATTCATCATTTCTGTAGCTGCGATTTAGGAAGGCAACTGAAAATGTGACCTCTGTTACGTTCGTTTGGGGAATTAGAAAAATATGCTGAATTACAATCTTGATGTATAACAGACTGCAGCTTGAATCTTACATTAGTTTCGTCGATTTTACTAGTATGAACCCTTTGACTTATCTAGTTTTTGTTGATTTTACAATGGTGTAAAGGAAGCAAAGGCAACTGTTAGAAGGAAGGCATGTCTATAAAGATTAATCTGTCATTTTCTTTTTGAAAATGGTAGGCTTTAAATAGCACTGTATGACATAGTCATGGCTAACCTGCTCTTCCAACCCATATCCGCTTGTAAAATCTTTTATTACTAGAGTTACTGCTTCTGTGAGTTAAGGAGAA